TCCCAGGGGGAGCGTGTGAGCAACTGCAAGATTCCTAGGCGCTGTCCCTGGCCTCGAGGCAGGACCGCTGACCCAACCCAACCTAACAGAACCAAGGAGAAAGTGCTTCAGGAGCTGAAAAGTGTTACAAAAATGGTTTTGGAATATAAGCTCCAGGGAGAGATTTCTGCTTCTCTGTCCTCATTGGCGTATCTCAGGATCCTTCAGGAGATTCTTCAGCAGACCAGGTCTGCTGGTTGCCTTCCCAGTAGAACTCGCTGCTGGCTTGGGCGTCAGGAGGTGCCCTGCACTGCCACATTCCATGGGTTTGGGACTCCTGTTCCACTTCCAACAAACTCAGTGATTCACGTCCTCTTCCAGACCCCAGCTGAGCCTGTGGAAGACCCTCCCTAAGACTTGCCCAAGTACATACACTCCATTCTCCCAACCAAATGACAAAACAATAATACACACAAAACAAAACAAACAAACAAGTATAAGACTCATAGTGGGTGTGGTAGCACATGCCTAAAATACCAGCTACTCACTCAGGAGGCTGAGGCAGGAAGGTCATGAGTTGAAGGCCAGTAAGACTCTGTCTCAAAATAAAATTTTTAAAAAATAGTGGAGGATGTAGCTCAGTGACAGAACACCCCTGGGCTTGATCCACACTAACACACACACACACACACAATAGTTCAACAAATATTTCTGCACACTGACTGCACTCTCGAGTGTGGCTATCTGCCCCGTGGGGAAGGGCGCTGGGCACCAAGCCTGTCTCCCCTCCCAGGGCACCACAGAGCAACCTTTCACACAGTCTGATCTCCAGGGTTCGCTCATCAACTAGTGATGACCAGCTTTCCTCTCACTTCTAAGAGTAGCCACTGGTGTGAACAGCTGTATGTGGGTCTCTGCTGGACCATTCTGAACATATGTAGTGAGAGGCCAAAGGCTGGGTCTCGTTTGGTGTGTATTTCTGCACAGCTGCTCCCAAGATACAAATTAAAGCACAAGCCCAGCAGCCACCTGGGGAGTCCCAGGTACACTCCTACCCAGGATAGCAGCTCTGCTGGCCAAAGAGAGGAGGTGGGAGGGAGAGAACTTGACATTTCAGAAGGAAGGGAACACCAGCCTGGTGCTGGAGATGCTTGGAGATTCCTTTTTTTTTTTTTTTTTTTTTTTAATTTTACTTAAAGAAAGATTAAACAAAACAGAAAATAGGTAGAAATGATACATACTTTCAAAGAAAAAATAAACAGTAACAAATCACTGGTTGATGTTTACATATTGTCATCTTACAAATAGTTGTTCAAGTTACAAAAGTGGAACATATAAAGTGGGGATTCAAACAGCGAGACTGCAAACAGTTCTGTTCAACTCTCCAACAAAAACTTAGTAATATAGTTATCAATTCTATACACTTAAACATACATGCAGTTGTCCATATCTTCATTTTATGTTGAGATTAAACAAACCAAACAGGCTAAAATCACTCTGAACAAAGAATATTAGTATTGCTAGATTTCACATCATGACACTACGGGATCAGTACTAGGTACTGTAGTGTCTTTTTTTTCTTCAAAGTATCTATTCATGTCATCATGTGTTATAAGATCAGTTCTCATAAACTCTTTATAGGTTCTATGCATGCATGAGTCTTAATATGTATTTCTGTCCTTTATATATTAGAGGGAGAAACAAAACAAAGCAGGGAGAAACAAAACATATTCCTGTAAACACATAAAATGAAAAAGACATAAAACCACTGTACAAGGAGTTCTACCATTGTTAGTGTTGTCTCTTGTCTCTATTGAAGATAACTTCAATAGAATTGACTATATCATCAGACATAGTATAATTGAATATATCAGTACATAACAGTATTAATAAAAAAACACAACTTTATAGATAGTGTAAAACTACAAAAACAGATAATAATCAAACCAGAATGGGTATCATAGTGAATCTTGTCATCTTCAGTGTAGTTGCCTATACTCTCAGACTTGATACTATCAATCATAACAGTTTTAAATTAAATCTGTTGATACCAAACAGCAATCTAATGAACCAGATTTAACTAAAATCAGTCATGATAAAACAATATAAGTTATATAGGGCTCGTTGCCTCCCTGGTCAGTGGCTGTGGTGTGGCAGAATGAAGCCCTTCCAGGGGGAGAACCACCAGTGGCTCCTGAGGTCCACACCATATTGGAACTTAGGACCCTGGGAAACCAAGCAAGCAGCTCCCCTCCCTGGTAAGTGGCTGTGGTGTGGCAGGCCGTGGCCCTTCCTGGGGGAGAACCACCAGTGTCCTTTGAGATCCACACCATGTTGGAACTTAGGACGCTGGGAAACAGAAGCAACCAGCCTGCCTCCCTGCTAAGCAATAGCAAACCTATTGGTGCAAAGCCTCAAGTCAAACATTCCACTTCCCCTACCCCACTTCCCCTGTCCTTCTATAGGCAAATGGGAACCAGAAATCTGAGCATCTCTTGGGAGGTTGACCGTAGCAAATAAGGGGGATTTCCTTCTACCATATCTTTGAAGGCAAATATTTTTATTACTGTTTTGCTTTATTCTGATTAATGGTACTGCTCTATTCAATATTCTGTTTTGATAAGTTCTATAATGTTCTGTATTTCATTTTATTTTGATATACATGATTGAAAGAACAACTATTGTAAAGATAATGAAATGTACTATGATACCTATTACTGTTATCCCGGTTACCTGCTGTGAAGTTCTGTACCAGTTTCACTACACAGTCTGTTGGATTTATTCTGTCTTGTTCTGTTGTATTTTACTACTTTCAAAAGAAAAAAAAAATAAGTTATGCAGGGCTCAAGATTAAGTTAATAGGAAATTAAAGATGATTACTGTGCTATATCCTGATATTTTGGGGATAGCTGTCTGTGCCCTCAGATCTAGTGCAAGTAGACAAACTGGGACAGAATAAATTCTATCTAGGCAGAGCAGTGTGAGTAATATGGGTTTTAATTCCTGATACACTATTAACAATATCTTCTGCCATCTTTTTAAAGACTATTCCTCCCCTTTCACTCCCCCAGGATGCACTGTGCATTTTTGGGTCTCACCAACATCCTCTGTTTTATATTGGGGAGCAACCTGCTATTTATCTAACTGGTTCCGAACCCTCTCTGTCCTGTACTTGATCTCTAATTGTATTCCTTTACCTATTAAAGCCTGTTTTTCCAACCTATCCACAAATACTTATTGCTCTCTGGTTCCCTGTCACATAGAGCATTGTTTCTCATATTTGATTTTTGGACCATATACCCTTTTTCAGGTTAATTATATTTCCATAAAGAGCATCTCAGTGGACCCTACCTCCTGATTCACTCTGCCTATGATTCTCTTTTTCTTTTTTATTTAGTATGTCAAGGCCATCTATATTAGAGTCTATAGCCAACCTTATCTGCCTCATTTCTGTTGTGCTCTTTTTCTGCCATTAATTGTCTGGTTGTCTACTTCATTTCGCTTTCTGCTTCATTCATTGAGGACTCTGCCACTGTTCCTGAAATCCTGGTACTTTTCTCTCTCTCTAGAATGTCCTTCAGTATTCTCTGTAGAGTTGGATTGGTGGTCACAAATTTTCCCAGTTCCTCTTTGTCTTGGAAGCATCTTGTTTCTCCATTAATTTCTAGAGACAGTTTTGTAGGGTATATCAATCTGGGCTGGAGGTTATTTTCTTTCAGGGATTGGAATACTTCACTCCAAGTGCTTCTTGATTTGATGGACTGTGTCAAGAAGTCTGCCATGATTTTGATGGGTTTTCCTTTATAAGTAATCTATTTCTTGTCTCTGACAGCTTTTAATATTCTGTTCTTATATTGAATTTCTGGAGTCTTTATTATATGCCTGGGTGTAGCTTTGTTTTGGTTGTAGGTGGCTGGAGTTCTGTATGCCTCATATATCTGAATATCATTTCCTTTTCTTATTTTGGGAGGTTTTCCTTAATCATTTCTGTGAATAGCCTTTGTAGTTCCTTTGTTTGTACCCCTGCTTCTTCATTCACATTCTTTATTCTTAAGTTATAGATCCTCTTGTCATCTTCTAGCCTTTTGTATTGTTACTGCTTGTTTCCTTGTTATTTTAAAGAAATTTTTCCTTTCATGATCCCACATTGCAAACCTGTCCTCCAGTTTGGATAATCTATCCTTAGTTTCTTTCAAGCAGTTTTGCCAGCTTTCAATGTAGTTTTTAATTTTCTGGTAATCTCTTTGAACCTGCTTCATGTATTCTATGTTTTCTTTATATTCTTCATCAAACGATTCTCTCCTTTTTTTTAAGAGAACAGCAGTTCCAGAAAACATCGTGTTCCAGACCACATCGGTGCTCCATTACCAGCATGGAGAAGACCAAGCCAAAGACAGAGTATACAAGCAAGAGTGGGACATGTCCAATAACCCGGGGGAAAACATCAAAACGTGATGTGGGCCGCGCCATTGCAAATGACCACAGCTTGCAGCCAAACATGCAGGCCCTTTGTCATGGGCCAGCAGCCACATCCTCAGCCAAGCAACCCAAAGTTGAGGTCTTCAGAGCAGAGTCCAGCAGCAACAATTGTCCCCAATGTCCCTCACATGCATCCAAGGAGCCATGGTGTAGAGAAAGCCGAGGACCCCAGGGAAAAAGATCTAAGGGCAGCTGCTGGTCCAGGCAGGAGTTCACAGTTTATCTAAACTTTGTTTTCAGTTCTGTGAAACAAGACTACTAAAAACCCATGGGCTTGTTGTATTAAAAGAGAAAAAAAGTGCTTCCCAATCCTTGTTGTAATTAGGCAACACTTAAGTAATTGCTTGATTAATCAACATGGATTTATTGATCACCTACAGTATGCCAAGAATGTTAAACAGATTGCATCATTTTATTTCCCTCAGAGGAACATATTATTGTTTCCATTTTATGGAGGAGGAAGCTCTGGTTAATCATTTGTTGGAAGTTCCACTGAACTGATAGTGACAATCTATATGCAGGTATGGGAGCCTCAAAGCCCATGCTTTCTGCAACATAGGATTCTGCCCTACTGCTCCAGGCAGAAAATAACACAAGAGATGGAGGCGAATGGAGGGAGCCAATCAGAATCTGGGTGACAGTGGGGTAAGGTGTCACACTGAAAGGTACCTGCTCATGCATGGGGAGCTCACCCTCCTTGGAGATTGCCCGGGCCTTCCTGCAGGTAGGAGCAGGAGGAAAGACTTGTCCGGGTCTCCTAGGTGGGTGGGAAAGACAAGAAAACAGGGGACAGGAATTAAGGCCCAGTGGCCAATGAGGCCTGGAGCCTCCTGGGGGGGTGGAAGGGCAAGGTGTAGATAAGGAGAAGGAAGAGGAAGTTGGACTTGCAAGAGACCCACAGGCAACGTGGTAATGTTCTTGCCTCCTAGAAACCTTGAAGCCTCATCTTCAATGCCCCACCTCAGGGCATGCTTCCAACTTTGTCTTGATCTTCTGGAGCCTTCTCCATCTTTATCCACTCACCCATAGCTGCAGAGGCCCAACTGCCAAATGAGGCTGTGTTGTGAGATATGTGGACATGAATGGGGAAGGGACACTACTCAGCCCACAACAGGGTAGGAGTGCAAGTAGTCAGAAACGAGACCACAGAAGTATCAGGGGATGCACACGGGCCCTGGACTCCATCCGGGGACTGTTGTGACCAAGGCATGTGTGTAGGCCAGAGAGTGACAGAATTTAAGCTTTAGAACTCTAGGCTAACTACAGAGTTGAGAATAGATCAGATCTGAGCAAAACTAGATACCAAGGGATGATGCAAGGAGCTGTCCTGGTGATTCAGGTAAGAAATAGTCATGGATATTTAGGGATGGAATCAAATTGGTGATGATTAGGGAGTGAGAATGCAGGAAAGGACTCACACATGTGCCTATGTTTCTGACTTGAGCAGTCAAAAGAAGAGCACACAGGAAAGGGAGCAAGTGCCGGCAGGAAGGGAGAGATCCAAGCAGAGATGTCCAGAAGATTGGGATGTCCAGAAGTGACTTCTGGATTATGTTAGGCTTGAGTTTAAAGAGATCTCAGGGACAGAGTCTGAGTCCACCAAGTGTTCTAGAGCCAGGAAAGGAGAGTAATGACTCAATGTCTTGGTTGTTTTTCTCTCATTGTGGGATAAAATACCTGATAGCCAAAATGAAGGAAGAAAAGGTTTATCACTCTTTGTGGAGGTTTCAGTTCATAATCAACTAACTTCAAGGCATGGTGGCATGGCACCAGGGCAACACTTCAAGGCAGCAGCCAGCAAAAGCAGCCAGAGCCAAGGAGGGGGCTGGTGGCTTACAAGCCTCTCCTCCCTTATACTGTAAAGCAGGCCACCTCCCCAACCCCAGAGTGGTTGCAGCCCTCACACCACCTGTGTCCTCCTCTTGTGCAGGATGATGATATTTACAAAGTAAGAAAATTGGCTTCCTGCCGAGTCTCTTAGTTAACCTTCTAAACTTCTCAAGTTGACACAATGTATCAACCATAATGGGGAGATTATATGGCATGAAAAAGTCTCATAGTAAATTCAGAAGAAGCACCATGTCAGGGTCAGACAGGTGCAGATCCACCAGAAGACCAAATAGGATGCTGGGCATGGTGGCACACACCCATAATGCCAGCTTCTTTTGAGGCTGAGGCAGAATGATTGCAATTTGAAGCTAGTCTGAGCAATTTAGCAAAATCTTGTCTCAAAATAAAAATTGCTGGGGATGTAGCTAAGAGACAGAGCACTGCTGAGTTTAATCGCCCAGTACAAAGAAGGAGGAAGAGGGAGAAGAGGAAGAAGGAAAAGAAGAGGAAAAAGAAGAGGAAGCAGAAGGAAAAGGAGAAAAAGACCAAGCAGGGGGAGGAAAAGAGGACAATAGCAGAGATACCTTAAGCCCTTCTTGGCCCCTGCCCTGGCTTCTCATGCGGGTCCCTCCCACTCTCCTGTAGCAGGGTAGCACTGACCTTTTTCAGACAGGGGGAAGGGGAAGGAAGATAGTCTCACAGGGCAAGCAGCACTTCTTACCCACTCAGCAATGTTCTGTGATTTTCTAATCTAAGCATAGCCTGAACTAGCCAAAGGAAGTTTTCAGTCCACCCCTTCCACTTGAAATCTAGCACTGAGCTGTCAGCCTACTCGGAGCCTCCCGTTGTGTCATCTCTGGCTGAGACCACCTCTCCAGCTGCTCTCTCCAACACACCGCATTAGCACCAGGGGCTATTAACACCTGAGCAGGGGTTAATTTAAACTGGATGGTGCTGTAATTACAAAATACCTGCCATACTTCAGAGACATATTATGGAAATAAATATACCATAACTCAGGAATGGTTTTACGTTGACTACATAAGGTAATATTTTATAGCCGTTTTAGATTAATTAAATATAGCATTAAAATGCATTTCACCTGTTGCTTTCCAGTTCTTTAACATGGCTGCTAGAAGTCAGTTACATCTGAGGCTCCCATTACATTTCTACAGAATACTGTAGCTCAGAGGTCTTCCTGGAAGTCAAAACTTACCTTAAATTTGACTTCCCCAGAGCCCTGCCACACATGGTCATAGGAAGGAAAGCGCAACCTACTTTTTGCCTGAGGTTTTATGAGTTTCCATTTTATTTCTAGTAACTTGTAAGAGATGCTGTTCTTTTCCCCCAGCCAAGATTTTAGAAGAAAAAATTCAAAAGCAAAGTTTTAATTGAGCACATAACTTTCCCAATTCATGATGTTGTTACATCTCATAGTGTGGAGAATGCTCTCTGAGATCTCGCTCTCTCTCAGATAAAAATCTCATGTCATTGTGTATCTCACTGGCTCCAAAACAAAATGTTGATGTCACTAACACTTTCTTAAACTAGGTTTTTATTTTTTAATTTTGTTTAAATGTGTAACATATAATGTAATTATATGGTATGAAATTAGAAGGCACAAAGGAATACTTAGAGAAGTCGATCACCCACCTCACCTCCTACCCCACTCCTGCCAACACCCTACATATCCACCCAGTGATAGTGAAGACACATCCAATGTATGGACATACAGACTTTTAAAAATTTAAACAGTAGCACATTATGCCCATATTCTGTGTGGTGCATTCTGCTCCTAACATTTTACCTTTGGGATGCTACTCTATCCATGCATAAAGAGCTGCTTTCAATTGACATATGTCTTGTGTACATGAAAATAACTTAATAAAGGACAAAGTCATATTCAAATCAGGAAACTGAGTTCAGAGAAGTTATGTTTATGGCAGCAGTGACAGACACAGAAAGAAGACAGTAGCCAGGCCACCTGACTCCCAGTGAGAGCTTGCTTCCTTCCTGTGGCCCCATTTGTGAAATAGAGGAAATAGAGTTCCAGAGCACTTGCACTGGCTTGGCGAGAGCTTTGGACCATCAATGCCAGCAAGGGCACACGAGGTGATCTCTTACACGCCCGAGGGAAGCTTTGAAACATCACACGAAACCCGGAAATACAGGAAAGTGACAAAATGAAAGACCAAAATGCAATCTCAAATCTCTAGCCCATCCCAAGAAAGTCTAGGAGCCATATACATAGAAGAACATATAAGCCATACACCTGAAATGCCTGAAATGATGTCAACTGAAATAAAGAAACAACTCCAGAAAGCTATAAAAGAACTCAAATCAGAAATAATCTCCCAAGTAAAAGAAGAAATGATAAATGTAATGAATGAAATGCTGATCACATCTAAAGAAGACATAGTTAAAACATTAGAGGAACAATGCAAAAAGATGGAAATCCTGAATGAACAATATAAGAAACAAACAATGCATGAAGCAGATTCAAAGAGATATACAGGAAATCAAAATTTCCATCAAAAGTTGGCAAAACCACCTCAATGAAAGTGAAGATAGAATTTCAGACCTCAAAGACAAGATTACAGCTAGTGAACAGGAAAGAAAAGATCTTTTAAAACTAACAAGGAATCAAGAAATAATAATTCAACAGTTGCAAGATGATGCAAAGAAAAACAACATAAGATTGATAAGGATAAATGAAAAAGAAGGGAACGACACAAAGTATATCAAGAGGCTATTTACAGAAGTAATAGCTGAAAATTTCCCAAACATGAGAATGGAAACTGACATCCAGATCAGTGAAGCATATAGAACTCCAAAAATCCATAACCAAAATAAAACTACATCCAGACATATAATAATCACCATCCCAGAAATCCAACAAAAGAATAGAATATTAGAAGTTGTCAGAGAGAAAAGACAGATCACCAATAAAGGAAAACCTATCAGAGTCACAGCAGACTTCTCAGCACAAACAATGAAATCAAGAAGAGGATGGAGTGAAGTATTTCAGATACTAAAGGAAAATGATTTCCAACTTAGACTGATGTATCTTGAAAAACTGTCCTTCAAAATGGATGGAGAAATAAGATACTTCCATGACAAAGAATAGCTGAAGAACTTCGTGATCAACAAACGAACCCTGCAAAGAATACTGAAAGACAGTTTAGATATACTTAGGAAAAACCACTAAGCAAGACAGACAATTAAACAGAATGGAAAGATAAAGATGCAACAGCAAAAAGATAACATGTCAACAATAAAACAATATATAACAGTTATAACCATTAATGTAAGTGGCCTCAATTCACCATTAAAAGAAACAGACTGGCAGAATGAATCAAGAAACAACATCCAACCATATTCTGTTTACAAGAAACCCATCTAACCCAAAAGGAAACGCATAGACTGAAAGTCAAAGGGTGGAAAACAATACTTCATGTAACAGGAACCCCCCCAAAAAGCAGGGGTAGCTATTCTGTATGCAGACAATGTGAAATTCAAACCAAGAATGATCCAAAGAGGTAAAGAAGGTCACACTACATACTGGTTAGGGGAAAACTTCAAGAGGAAGAGATAACAATCTTAAATATATATGTACCAAATTTGGGAGCACCCAGCTATACAAAACAAGTATTAACAGAAATGAAAAAATCAAATAAGCAATAACACAATTATAACAGGAGACCTTAATACACCATTAACATAAAGGGACAGATCAACCAGACAGAAAATCAGCAAAGAAATAACAGAACTGAATCACACCTGTGAACAAATGGACTTGATAGACATAGAGTGTTCCATCCAACAACATCAGAATATACATTCTTCTCAACAGTACATGGGGCACTCTCTAAAATAGACCATATAATAGCCCAC